CCCCAGTGTGGCTCTATTTGGGGGTAGGGCCTCTAAGGAAATAATTAAGATTAAATGAGATCATAAGGTGGGGTCCTGATCTGATAGTATTAGTGTCCTCAGAAAAACAAACACAAGAGCGCTGTCTCTCTCTCTTTCTCTCTCTCCACACAAAGACCAGATCATGTGAGCAAACTGTCCGATGACAGCTGCCTGCAAGCCAAAGAAGAGGCGTCAGAATGAAACCGACCTTGCCAGTCCCTGGTCTTGGACTTCCCAGCCTGCCGTAGTTTAAGCCAGTCAGTCTGTGGTATACTGGGAGGCAGCGCAAGCAGGCTGACACCGTAGTGTAACTACGGTCAGACCAGCTACTGCATCACTGTGTTGGAGCTGAGGCCACACTTCCCACCAGCTGCTCCACACAAGCCACGGAACAGGACAAGGGTACAGAGGCAGGCCTGTTCCTGGGAGAGAGGTGATACTCCTCTGATGGGACACTTTGGCTCTCGACTCCCCATCAGCCTTACCAAAACCTTAGACCTGCACCATAGTCTAAGATTTTTCCTTCCTCTCCTCCACAGCAGCTATTCCTGCATTGCATTCTAACAGCATTCCCAGCCTCCTCCAGCTCCTTCCTCTTTGCCCCTCACAGATGTTTTCCCCAATACATCTTTTGCACATATAATACAATCATGGCATCTGCTTCTCAGGGCACCCAAACTAACATAACTTCTTAGAAAAAGAGAGAGAAAAAGTCAACAAGTTATGTGGCAAAAAAAAATACTAGCTATCAGTTAACAAAGGTTATAATATTACAGAAAAATTAAACATCAACCATATATACAACAAACGTGCCTGTTTATTCGCTTGTAGTGGTGTTGACTGTGTGAGCCAAGGGAATTGAGCCTTTTTGAAAACACTGTTTCTTAGAAACTTTAGTTTATTAAAAACTGCTACCCAGTCTCAGAACATTTCAGTGTCCATTTTTCACCACAACTCTACCCCAATCTTAAATAAGCCCAAACAAACGGATGGTCTTAGGCATTGTCCATTATCAAAGACATGCTAATAAGGTTGTGGTGGGGGAATCAAGTCACAAAGATCATGAAGGAGGACACTCTGCTACCAAGGACCTTGAGAGTCTGGCTGTATCTGGATAGCTCTGAAACATCTCACCTTATTTAATTACTTGAAGTAATTCAGTCCAGCAGGCTACTTCAGGCAGAGCAGAGTGTGTAACAATAGCACTTAATCTCATCTCACCTTGTCAGTGACGCCTCAATGCAACTTTGGTCTGAAGGGTGGGGTGTTCTCTCATTACCCATTTATAGCAGTGACTCTGCGATCACGTAACTGTGGCCTGAGGTTAATCAACCCAGCATAAACTTTTTTCTTCTAAAAACTGCTGGATATTCTGTCTAATGAGTCAGGTCACTTGGAACACTTTGTGCTTCCAAAGCACTGGGATAGAGAATATAAATAAAGTACGCTGGCTTCTCTTCTTAACTAGACTCCTGGTCATGGCTTCTACTTTAGAACTACAGTTTAATTTTGTATGGTTGTTTTCAGAAAAATGAAAGAAAGAGACTTAGGAAATGCATAGGTTTTGTGTCTCTAGAGAAAAAGGAAATCCTATTTTGGTTCAGGCTGATTCTCTAAAATAGATGTTTATTCTCTGATGATATCACAAGAAAGTCATATTGTATTCCCCTAGCCCATTTATTCTCTCCGTGGAATTCACTCATTTCCCTTTGTCCTCAAACTTCCAACACCTCCTCCCTACTTCCACTCACAGCTGAAGATGTTGCTTCCTACTCTCCTGAGAAGACTCAAGAAATCAGAGAACTTCTGCTCACTCTTATCATCACAAATTTATACGTCTACCAGCCTCGTACACACATACTCTGCCTTCCTGTTACTGTATGGACTGTCCATGCTCATAGTGAATGCCAAGTTTCCCTGTTCTCACCTTCCCAAGGCTGTCACATTTCTTTGCTCTCTCTTACATCATAAAAGTAATCCTTGAAATGCCACTTATCACTTCATGTGGCCTTCTCACTTTTAATCTCACTTATTTTGACTGCTGCATTGTATTTCATAGTATGCTTTATTTATAAGAATGAAGTATTTATAATACTTTATTTGTAAAGATACTCAGATTATAATATATCTTCCCCTATCACAAACAATTCTCCAAGGCCTCTTTGTGCACAGATGCAAACATTTCTTTAGGATAAATATCTAATAGTGGAATTGTTGGATAAAGACATATGCATATTGCTAAAAGAGTTCCTAACAAAATGCTCTCCAATACGTTCATGCCAGTTTACATCTCTACACACTTCTCCACATCTTCTCTAACATTCCATATTAATGATCTTTAATATTCGCCAATCAAAACAGCAAATCTATCACTTCCCAATGATTTTAAATTTCATCTTTTTTATATATCAAATTACAAAATACTTGAATATATACAGTATATATTCAACTATGATATCTTACCCTTTTTATGTTTTTTGTGTGTTTTAATGCCTTACAATAATTCCCATCACTCTTTTGTAGAATTTTTGCTAGCTATTCTTGTTTATTTTTCTATATATTCTTTAGAATCAGATTGTCAAGATCCAATAAAATCCTACTATCAACATCCCCCACCAGAGTGGTACAATTGTTATAATCTATGAACTCACATTGATAGATCATAACCAAAGTTCATAGTTTACGGAGCAATTTTCAACCTTTTTCATCCCATGGCACACATAAACTAATTACTAAAATTCTGGGGCACACTAAAAAAAAATCAAACATATTATAAATATATTTGTAAATCAATCAAAATTATACTTATTTTTTCCCAGATTGGCAAAAAATATAATATATTTTTAACAATATTAATTACCTACCCTTTTTTCTCCAAAGTGACCTTTAAAAAAAGTCCCAGAGATGTGAAAGTGGGGTACAGACTGACAATCCCCAGAAGAGAGGGTGGGGGAGAGATAAACCACAGAACTTATATGCATGTATGTATGAACAATGGACATGGACAACAAAGGTGGGGACAGGGTGAGAAGGGAGGAGGAGAGGGGAATCAGTGGACGAAAAAAAAGAAACATCTGTAACAAAAATAAATTAATTAATTTTTAAAAAGCACAGGTGTCTATAATTGTATGTAAGGATTTCTCATACCAAGAACTAACCAATCAGATGCAACCTTATCATGCAACATGACCAGTAAGATGCAGCTCTATTATATGATCTATATATTTATGGTTCAAGACAGGGCATTCATACTCGATGGCCATTGTTATTTTGGCTGTTGTCATTTTTTTGTCTGACAATTTAAAGGACAAGAGGTCAGTGCCCCTGACTAAATAGTTAGGTATTGTGTGTTTTAAAAATTCTTGTGGCACATCAGTTGAAAATCACTGTTCTAAGGGTTTGGACAAATGTATAATGACATATAGCTATCATCATAATATCATACACTGTGCATCCACTGTACTTCCTTTTATCTTTATGTCTGTGTGATATATTCCCCTATATCCCTAATACTGGCTATTTTTACCTTCTCTCTGTATTTCTTGATCAATTAATAGAGATGAGCAGCCTTTGAGCTGTTACAAGGTAGCCTCTGTCTTCCGCGCTGCCTGACAGAAAGACTACCTGAAAATGCAGCTTGTTTCTGTGATTCCTTTTTCAGCCCTGACTGCCCTTCTTCATGAAAAGCACAGGAACCCATGTACCCATCCTGACATCACTGGTTGTTGGTTTTGCCTCTTAGGTATAGCATTTACTTTGAAGAACTATGCTTTGCCAGTTTTATTTTATTTATTTTTTATTTAATTAATTAATTTATTTTTGTTACAGATGTTTCTCCTTTTCCCCTCATTGATACCTCCCTCCCTCTCCCCCACCCTCCCTGCCCTGTCCCCAGCTTTGTTGTCTATGTCCTTTGTTCATACATACATGCATATAAGTTCTGTGGTTTATCTCTACCCCCCACCCCCTCTTTTGGGGATTGTCAGTCTGTACCTCACTTCCACATCTCTGGGACTACCCCATTCCTCAGACTGTTATGTTCATTATATTCCACAAATAAGTGAGATCATGTGATATTTGTCTTTCTCTGCTTGGCTTGCTTCACTTAGGATAATACTTTCCAGGTTCCCTCCATGTCATCTCAAAGGATAAAAGATCTTTCCTTCTTACAGCTGCATAGTACTCCATTGTGTATATGTACCACTGCTTTTTTATTCATTTGTCTACTGATGGACATTTGGGCTGTTTCCAGATTTTAGCTATTGTAAATAGTGCTGCTATGAACATGGGGGTACATATATTCTTTCTAATGGGTGTTTCAGGCTTCTTAGGGTATATTCCTAAAAGTGGGTCAAATAGCAGTTCAATTTTTAATTTTTTGAGGTAACACCATATTGTTTCCCACAGTGGCTGCACCAGACTGCATTCCCACCAGTGTACTAGAGTCCCCTTTTCTCCACACCTCACCAACACTTGTTGTTTGATGACTTATTGATGGCGGCCATTCTGACAGGTGTGAGGTGATACCTCTTTGTTGTTTTAATTTGTATCTCTCTGATGATTAGTGATGTTGAGCATTTCTTCATATGTCTCTTGGCCATTTGTATGTCCTGTTTGGAGAGGTGTCTATTTAGTTCTTCTGCCCATTTTTTAATTGGGTTCTTTGTCTTCCTTTTCTTGAGCTGTATGAGCACTCTACATATATATTGGAAATTAACCCCTTATCTGATGTATCATTGGCAATTATGCTCTCCCATAGAGTGAGTTGCCTTTCCATTTTGGTGGTTGTTTCTTTTGCTGTGCAGAAGCTTTTGAGTTTGATGTAGTCCCATGTGTTCATTTTCTCCTTTGTTTCTGTTGCTTTAGGTGATGTATCAGTGAAAATTCTGCTGTGTATGATGTATGAGATTTTGTTGCCTACATTTTCTTCTAGGATTTTTATGGATTCATGAGTCACATTTAAGTCTTTTATCCATTTTAAAAATATGGAACGCTTCACAAATTTGCATGTCATCCTTGCGCAGCAGCCATGCTAATCTCCTCTATATCATTCCAATTTTAATATATGTGCTGCTGAAGCAAGCATGCCAGTTTTATTTTATTTCTCCAGCCACATGGATACTGCTGGCATCTTCCTGCATCCTTGTTTACAGTCCACTGATTTGTTAGTGCTTTGTCCTATAGTGTGATTCAAAGTTCCACATGTACCTCCCAGATTCACAGATGATAGTGCTTATGTTCCTGTTCCTTTGGGTGTTTTGTGTTCACTTTGGGTTTTTGTTTGTTTTTTATTTTTTTTTCCTTGTTGTTTTGGTGGTTGTTGTTTTTAAAAAATTTCCAAGAACAGATAGAAAAATATCATTTTTAACCCACCTTCTAAAATATGACCGTATGACTGTTATATTCAGCTTGGTAAAACTTGACTGGGACACACTGAATGTGTAAATACATTTGGGGGGGGGGGGTTACTATTTTCAAATTTAAGAATATGGTATTTCTCATCATTTATTTAGGTCTTCTTTTATATCTTCTAATAACATTTTACAGTGTTATTGTTGTTATTGCTTTCAGCTGGTATTGCACAAATATTTTCAAGTTTATTCTTAGCCATTTCATTGTTTGTTTGTTTCTATTGGGAACTGTATAATCTAACTGGTTATGGTAATTTATGAAAAGCCCATCATTTTTTGCATTTTAATATCTTATCCAATTGCTCTAGTAGTGTAGAATTCTATCGGTGTGCCATTTTATTGTCTTGGATCATCTGGAAGGATAACCGTGTTGTCAGAAAATGCAATAATTGTTTTTTTTCACTCTTCCTTTCAGATATTTACCTGTCTGATTCTTTTTGTGTGTTATTGCACTAGCCAAAACCTACAGCATAAGTACTAGCACTTAGCATCCTTATATTACGTCCAAAGGTAAAGAAAATTCTTTCAATGCTTCTTCATTACACATGATTTTTGCTATAAAGTAAGAGTTTCCTTTCATTCCTTGTTTTTAACATTAATTGATGTTGAATTTTGCCAAATATTTTTTCAACATCCATTGAGATAACAAGTAATTTTTCTTCTTTGACCTTTTAAATAACTACTGAATTAAATTCGTATTTACCTAATATTGAGACTTCCTTGTGTTTCTTCTGGGAGCCCTATGTGTGCCGTTGAGTTAGCTCTGACTCCTGACAACCTTATGAATGAGTGATGTTCACAATGCCCTGTCTTCAACAGCCCTAACTATGTCACAGATTATGGAGATGATTAAAATTAGGTAGAGAAGTAAATATTTGCTAAGACAGAAAATAAGACATTGTACTTTAAGGGGCAGATTAATTTTCTGGAAGAAGTCAAGATGAGTTGTCTGAAAAAAATCAATACAAAAAATTCTCCTATTAGATCTAAATTTATTGTATTGAAAGGAAATGTTTATGGGTTATTGAGTAGGGTGTTTGTTTTCTGTTTGTTTTATCCTCACCCGAGGACATTTTTCCATTTTTTGTTCAGATAGAGTGGGAGGGGGAGAGAGAGAGAGAGAGAGAGAGAGAGAGAGAGAGAGAGAGAGAGAGACATCAACGTGAAAGGGACACATCGAGTGGCTGCCACTCACACAACCCAACCAGGGCCGGGGACAAACTGCAGCCGAGGTACGTGCCCTTAGTGAGAACCGAACCCAGGCCTCTCTGGTCTGCGGTCTGAAGCTCTAACCACTGAGCCAAACCGACCAGGGCAGGGTGTTTGCTTTTTATGCTGCTAACACAATTCCTGAGATACTGAAGAATGAGATAACCAGAAGTGATGTGGATGCAATCCAAAAACAAGTGGAAGGAGCAGCATTTGCTGTGAGGGCGTGAGATGAAGGTCAGTACCAGTGTTGGTCGGTTTACAGGTTTTGTTGAGTGAGGAAGATCAGGGTCAATCTGGGGTAAGGATTCAGTGAGAATGATGATGGGAAAGGGTCATGGAACGTTTAAAGTGAAAGAAGGAAATAATAGCAGAAAGAAGGAAACACAGTAAGGTGAATACCAATTTGAAGCTTAAGATCATGAATTTCCAATGAACCCCATCTAGGCACTTGTGTGGTTTTTGTCCAGTAACATCGAACTGCTCAAGTGCAGGTCCAGAGAGGACAGAGGGTAGGTTCCTCTATGGTTGGGGATTTGTCAGATGACTATGACACAGAAGGACTAGGAAACTCAAGAGTATTTGCAAAGGACTCATTATGTTTAACCATGGAATACACCTGGAGAGGAAGGAAATAACATGAAGAAAATGTGATGGGAATCAATGTATTGGCTGCAAAAATAATGTCAAAAATTTATACCTGGGGGTTACCTGAGCAAGCAAACTAAAAGGACAGGAGGTGGTGGTCAGACAGCAGGATATTTCAATTGAGACTTCAGGCAGAGTAGCTTCTGGCAATGACAAAGTTCAAGGTGTGACCAGGACAAAGTGGCTAGATTGGGATGAAGTTACTAATCATTAAGGTGGATGACTGCAAGAGTCCCAGGGTTGGCCCTAATAGCCTGTCCTCCCCTCTTTTTGGCTAATTATCTTTGATGAGAGAAAATGTAATCATAACCCATGCTGAGCAAGAACCCTGGAACCTCTCCTTGATTTTTACTCCTGGTGATTTTCTGCAATCCCTTTACTAAAAGCAAATGGGTGGGTTTTTAGGACATGGGATGACACCCTCTATTATATAAATGCATGACAAGTCTCATTTAATCCAAGATGATTTGGTTAAACGGGGTGCTGAAATCTGGGAGTGGGAGCCTGGGGAGCAAGAAAATGACATGGGGGCCTTCTGGAGCATGGATGTGAGAGTGTAAAGGAGAAATGGAGAAACGAGGAAAATGAGAGGTGTGCTGTCATTGTTGCCTTAAGGCCAGTCCTGGACACTTTTTACATACTGCACACTAGACTTGGTATGCATCAAGGAGAGTTTATAGTCTAAAATAAGTCAAATACATTTGATTTTATCATAATTAGTTCTTTCAATACCACAACTAAGAACCTCATCTATTTCATAAAGGACTACTCAAAAGGTTAACACATCTTTTTCAACACACAACAATAGCTCAAAACAGGATCTGACTTCTTTGATGAGATGAGAATAGATTCTTTTTGTTACTCGGTGGTTGTCCAATAGCAGTAAGGTCAGCTTGTACTTGTTAAATTATGAACAACAAAAGTAGCCTCTGCCTTTCTGTGGCTGCTCAGGGCAGATTCCACTGTCCCTGAGCCAGAAGTGCCCACTCAGCCATGTGAATGTATTTAAACATCAATAATTTCTGCTCTTTTCCATATATATATACATTTTTTTTTCAGGCTCAGTGCCCACCTCTAGAAATAAGCAAAAGGAAAAAGATTAACTTAGAGTGTACCATGTGGCAAGATGTCCATTTTGCTTTTCTAATTTACCCAACAAATTTTTATTGACACCATCCTATGAGCTGGGCATTCTGCAGTTGTTATGGACAGAGACTAGGGATAGTTCCCGCCCTTAAGAGAGTACAGTCTAGTGAAGATGGAGTACTTTCAATATTTAGGGTATCTACTTGCTAAAATTCACTCATTTCTTCCATAACTTGGTATGCTGTGCACTAAGTACTTTGTTAAGCCCTAGGAAAACAGATACACAGATATAATCCATGCCTTGACTGAGTCACATAGAACAGGTTATATGAGCAAAGGGGGAGGTAATCCTGCCTAGTATAATCAGGGAAGTCTCCTTGAAGGAGTTGCCCTTCTGTTGAATTTGGAATGCAGATGAGAAGCCTTAAGCAAAAAGGCAAAAAACGTTCTGAGCGGAGCCTCACAACGTATTTGAGAAACTGCCAGTAGAATGGAATGGTTGGAGCTGATGTGGGGGGAGGGGAGCAATGAGAGATGGAGCTGAGGAGGACACTGAAAAGAACATGTGCATCATGTTAAACAATTTAAACTTTACTCCGGAGATGATGGTAAACAGAGGAGTCACATGACGAGGCTGCATTTTAGACAGATCCTTCTGCTGCAATAAGGAGATTGGCTTTGTGTCAGGCAAGACTGAGAGCCAGGAATACAAGGAGCAGCTCAACGCAATGACCTTGAAAAGAAATAAGAATGGATCTCAGTTAGGACAATGTCACTGAGGAGAAAACAGCAGTATAAGATGGACTTGAGAAACAGTGGGAAAAGACTGGATTGTGGTGGGTGGTGAGAGGTAGAAGCTAAAGGACTAAGAGTCAAAGGTGACATCCAAGTGTCTGTTTTGGACAACTAGATTGTGACAGCATTAGCTGATACAACAGGAAAGAAACTATACTTCAAGGTAGATGCAGTTTTCAAGGTTAATGCACCATGATGCAGTTTTTGTACTGCAGGGGGAAAAGCAGTAGAGCAGGGTAGGTTAAACATATAAGTTAAAAACATAAAAGAGATACCTTATTAACATTAAAAATGTTTGTTCCACCAAAGACTGTGAAGACTAGGGAAAGATAAGCCACAATGGGAAAAAATATTTCCAAGGCCTTGTATCTAGCTTATATAAAGAACTCTTCAATTAGAAAATGGGCAGGACAGCTCCTCACAGACATGACAACATGTTTCACCAAAGAGGGTATATAGCAGATAAACACATAAAAAGATGTCCATCATTACCATGGTGATGAAAATGAAAGAGAAGGAAACATGAAAACCACAATCAGATATTAGCACACATCTGCTAGAATGACCAAAATAAAAAATAGTGAGACCATGAAATGCTAGTAAGGATGCAGAGAAATTGGGCCACGCATATACTCCTGTGGGCACAGGAGATGGCACAGCCACTCTGGGACACAGTTTGGTAGTTTCTTAGCAAAACTAACCTACACTTCCCATTCAACCCAGCAACTGAATTCAGGCATTTGTCCCAGAGAAATGAAAACTTAGGTTTGTGTAAAACCATGAATGTTTATAGCAGCTTTATTTGTAACAGGCTGGAAAACTAGGGGGGAAACCAGATGTCCTTCAAGGGTAAATGGATAAACAAACTGGCACTTCCATACCACAAAATACTATTCAAGAGACAAAAGCAATAAACTATTGATATAAGAAACC